CAGCGGAGAAAAGGTGAAAATGGTACTTGTGGAATTCGAGAGGGAAAATGGAAGTAAAATTGAGCGTTTCTGCAACGAGCAAGCAAACGCGTTCATTATTTATCACCGTTACGCGGTGGTTGGTTTGTACGACGCGTGCACGTGTCTATATTATTCCCTTTCCCGGGCTGGTTTTATTTTCTAACTATTTCAACAGAACGTGGCCAGGCGGCCATGCGATTTTCTTAGCAACGTCGAAGCTCGTTTCGCGATCTTTGCGAGCGCGCACGTATGCACACGACGCAATCGTTCGAAGTGGCTGCAATTTACCAGACACGCTTCCCTCGTGGCTGAATCGCGCTGCTTTTTGCCGCGTACCGTAGAAAATTGTTCCAACTCGCGATTAAGGTAATCGTGTTTATGTCTCTTCTTTACCCCCTCCCTCTTTTTCTCTAAATCTATCTTCCATTCTCGCGCGATCGAGATCCGAGAAAACGCCGAGAAACGAAAGCAGAGGAAGGCGTCGATTCGAAAGCTGTCGCGACGATAAATTACCGACGAACTCTGCTCGTTGCACTTGACGTACGTATTGTAATTATAGCAATAGTTCGGGTCTGATCTAAACGAGGACAAAAGAAAATAAAAATCGTGGTTATCCGATTCCTTGGTAGGTGTCATCGAAACTTTGGAAGACGTTTAATCGCGTTTCTTCATATTTTTTGCTATATATTTTCGTTCTCCAAAATGATAGGAATTGTGCCATTGAGGGGTCCCGATCGGTCGAGTTACGTAACGAGGATTATGTGGAGCAGATGTAATAAATGGGGTGACTTTATCTAGCTCGAAATGAAATATTTATACTAGCCACCGCGTTGAATGCTGTGTTGCACCACTTATCGCGTAGTACTTGTCAGTCATCTAAGTATCAAATGGGGCGATGATTACGCTGTCACTTAAAGGTTATCGAATATAATTACGGCTATCGAGCTCTTATGGTTTCTTAGGAAATTTTGGTGCGCAGAAACTTTCGGTCGTTTCGAATTTCTGTTATAAAAAATTAATTTTTTATTATTCGACACGCAGGTACATCGTGACTCGTGTTTATAGGTTCATAGAAAGGTCATTTATATTTAAAATACCTAATTATAATGTTGGCAGAATTATTCGATGAGTCAATTTTTCACACAGTGAGGTATTTAAGGGTTAACATTAAAAATAAAGTTAATCGACGATCGTGTCGCGTTGGATACACTGGTTCGAGTCTAGTCACCAGCATCAAGTTACCTCTTGGGGGGTCAAAAAACACATATTACTGTAGAATTTCTCTTTATATCATTAACACTTCTCTATCGAGTTTATAATCAGGAACCACTTCATAAATAGAAGCAAACACAGTTGTAATAAACAACGTTAGGTAGACATAAATGGGGAAGAAGAGTAACTAAAAGCGAGTCAAAGGAACAAATTAAAAAGGGGGATATTAGAGACACCTAATGCCATTTCTAACATAAAATTATTGCTTCCCGACGGAGTCGATGGAAATGTGCATCGTTGCGTATTGCGGGGTTTTAATTAGGCAATTCGCAGAAATCTCGGGTAGAAGTAGGTCGCAGAATTCCACCTCCGCTCGCCTTTGTTGCGATCGAAACGATCGGATCGGCAACGTTCGGCGGAAACGTTCGTAAGCCCCGAACGACAGGTTCCAACAAACACTGAAACGATATTCTGTATATTTCCACGCGCGTGTGTTTACGCTCGCGTACGGTGTAATTGCCTCTCGGCCGAGAGAGGGTGATGTAAGTGCGAGCGTACGCCGACGATATTGTTCTTCGTCCGGAGCCCGGAGGATTCTTTTTTCCTTTTTCTTCCATCCTGCTTGGAAACGCGCCGCGATTTTCCGTGTATCGCTCTCCCACTGTGCGCGATTATACGGCAGCCGTGCGAACGAGGTCGGAATCGCGTCCGCGGCTTTGTTTCGCGCGTTCGTTGCGACCCTTCGGGATCCTACGGGCGCCAAAGAGTTCCGGAATATGCCCGAAGCGAGCGTCGTTTCCTTTATTCGACGCCGTTTTGCACCGCGGGGGAAAAATTGGTACCGTTTACTGGGCAAGGTTGCTCCGTGAATGCGAATTAGCACTCTCGATACGCGTCGCGGGCCTCTTCGGGCGAAAAGGGGCTCGAGTCGACGGGAAATCGTAACAACGTTGGCGGATTCGAGAATCGTATTTCTTGGAATAATAATAGACCGCGGACGTTTATGCAGGAATATGCAGAATATATGCTAAGCACACTGTTGGACGTAAGTATTGCCGAAGTACGCAATTCCGTGGATGAAAAATTTATATAGTTGGTGAAAAAATTGTTTACACTACGTGATCTTTGCTTGTCCAAACATGGAATGAAATTCATAACGTAGGAATCATACGATCGTTAAAAGTGTGTTTTGAAACGTTGTATAGTTGATATTTTGTGCGAAGAGGACTAGGAATCGTTGACTGTATCGCTGTGTTTCTTTTAGCCTTTTCGTTTCTGTGCACCAAGTTTTGAACTTCACCTTCGAGACGGATACGCAGGTGAAACTGAGCTCCGAGATAACTATTGCTAAGAACTTTCTACCTGCAGACGTTTTTCCTTCTCTAATTGCCTAATGTTCTAATAACAGTGATCGAAAGACGTTAGGAGTCTAGGATAAGAAAGCTATATTCTGGATTCGCGTAAATGAGTCAGTATTTACTTTAATGTTTGTCCCGGACTCAGACTTCTGATATAATATATATTCTTCTAAGTTATTCCTTGTATAAATGTAACAAATGTCTCCGTCGACGAAGGGCTAATTTCGTCGAAGTTGGATACAAAATTTCTATTGGTTATTTCCGTGAAAAATTTGGTTGACTCCGTTCACCTGGGATCGCGATTGTTCGACCGCGATTGCCAGTGCCCCGAGACGCCACCGATTCGACTCAGTCGGTTCTGGCGTTCGATAAAAAAAGCTGCGGTGCATGAAAATTGCAGTGAAAACGCTCGCGCGGTATTTCGCTCGGCGATGAAAACGCGAGCGATATCCATTCTGGCCGTGATCCGTCGACGTTCGTCTCGACAGCCCCGCCAAGTGGAATCGATACGGTGTATTGAATCCATCGGCCCCGTTAGGTCCTTTTATGTAACGCCCGTCAGGATGTTGAGAAAACAGAAAGGAAAGTGTGGAGTGTGTGGGAATGCGCGGTAGCGTTACCGTTTGTTACTTAACCTTTTCGCGCGATTAAGTGGGAACCGGGAATTGGGGGAATAAAGGAACGAAGACGCCAGACTTCGTGACTCTTGTTTTTCTATGTTTTTCAGTCATCTCGCCTCGTTTCTCGTGCTGTGTCTTTCACAGAGACACCGAGCTCCGGATGCCAAGGTGCGTCGAGAAACCAAATTGGCGCCAGGACAGAATTTTCATATTCTGTTATCGATTCGGTCCCTCGAGGCCGCGAAAAACGACGCCCAGACTTTGTCCAAGGTCTCAAAAATCGCCAGCGATGCACCGCGGAGCGATTCGGTAGATAAAAATTCATACAAATTGCGTTGGGCGAAGTTTGGCTCGCGTAATTGAAACAAACCCAATAAAGTAAACGCGAATGAACCTTTTTTTTTTACTTGTGAAACGAGTCAAGAGTAATAAGACGCGTACTCGAGACGACCAAAATTTTAATTTTTATACTTTTCGCTATATTTTCGTAAGAGTAGTATCGGTGAATTGCCGAGGTCATGCCGAGTAAAACGAGTCCAAACACGACCTAGTTCCGACCACTTTAAATTATACGTTACTCGAATCGGTATTAAAAAATTTTAAATTAGGTATAACTAAAAGTTGTCCGAACTAGGTCGTGTTTGGACTCGTTTTACTCGGCAGGACCTCGCCAATCTGTTGGTAATATTTTCGCGAATATATTACGACAAGTATAGTTATTTTAATTTTAATTTTTTTTCTGAAATTTTCCCCAACTATTGAAATTGATTTTTTCCTTCCTTACGGATCGTTTCTCGAGCATTTTGTTCGTTTTTGCTGCTCGAAACGGCGTCGACGGCGTTCGTTCTCGCGTTAACTCTCTCGAGATGGTTGGCGCGCGGAACGGTTGGATTTTCCGCGACCCCTGGAACTCCCTGATCCACTTTAAAGGCGGACTTTCACGGCACTGATATGCTCGATAAAATGCGCGGTCGATGAGAGGAGGTGTGCCGTCGCGGCTGCGAGGAAAGAATATTAATTCCGAGAGAGCGTTTCACCGCGGCTGTACGCGCCGACTGCGAGAGATCGAGAGTATCGTGGTTCGATAGCCTGGGAAATCGAAAACGCTCCGGCGCCAATCGCGACCAATTTCGAAAAGTATTGAAATTGCGCGGACTTAGCGATTGGAAATTTTTAAACGATCCACTAAAAAAGTTGTTGCAAGACCCTTCGTTGCTCATTAGTTCAAAGCACAAGTTTCTTGTGGTCGTCGTCGGGTTGTTTCAAAGACGCAAATGTTAGGAGAACGAACTCTGCGCCATAAATTACTCGGATGATCAAGGGTCTCTGACTCGCCACATTGACCACCATCTTTGTAGATTTTAAAGAGCCCTGAGTCAGAGTCTGATCGTCTGAGACGATCTAGGCTCGTGAATTTTCCAATGAAAATACACTGTTTCGATACTTTGGAAAAGTCAACTGAATCGACCGGGTGTCCTGATTTATTCAATACAGTGAAGTAGAACTCAAACAATTTGTACAATTGAATCGTTCGTATATGTAATAGAAATTTACTAATTCTCAAATTCAAATGACCAAAGTTCGCGTTCAGATAAATGGGTTCAATTATAGAGGTATGAAATCGTTCAATTGAATCGTAATTTAATTTTAGTATTATACATAGTGGGTAAACAAAAATGTACTGTTTTTAAGTATAGAAAATTTCTTAAAGACACCCTTCATTAAATTATTTTGCAATTCTATTTATCAAGTGGTTATGTAACTTAGTACTCAACGTTTATTGTTACAGAAAAAACAGGAGATCATCAGAAGGGTATTTAGTAAAAGTATTTAATATTAGCCAGATTGAATTTGAACGTTTTAAACTTTGGCAATTCACATCAGCGCTTGTTTTCGATGATAATTTCCCTAAGACGTGTTTCACTAATTGTCTTGTTGCATGATTTACTAATAAAATGGTGAGCGCTGTTATTCAGAACCAGAGACAAGTAAATTATTAATGGTTTTCTTGTTTTGTACGTTGATTTATTAATACTTTACTATCGTTTTCACGGCGTTACGTTAAACAGTGACAAATATTTACCGAGATAGGCGTATTAATGTGCGAAAACTTCCAAAAATACCTGCTTCGCTGATACGATTACGTTCGTGGTAATCGTCGGAATTAAAATAAAACCATTTCTGATCAGTAAACATACATGTGTGTATCGTCCCTACCTCAGTAATTCATTGTGTCTGAAGAAGAAAAAGAATTTTATTTGAACTAATTTTTCTTAGAAATATTGTTGATATTATTACAATTTTAATACAATTTGAAATTACTCAGTTTGTGAGAAGTCATTGAACAAAATTACAGCTTCTGTAGTTTTCCACATATCCATACAAAATTCCCACGAATTTTTTGAACGAAATATTTATTTTCTAATTTCTCCGAAGAATTTGTTTCGATCACGGTACGCGAAAGATAAGGAATAAGCAAACGAACGACACTAATTCTGCACCGGATCAAAGTGCATCGTCTGGATCGTTCGATCGATGCCCAACTGACCCGAAAATTAATGCAAATCAGCGGCCATCGAGCGACTAGGTGTTAAAGACTCGACGGAAGCCAGCTAGGAGCTCGCAATAAAGCATCGATGTTGGCACTCGGCATCGAGGCGGACCGATATTCTTTATTTAGCTGTCGATAACCAATCGGTCGGGTGTTATTTAGACCCTCGATACTATTTCTCTTCGCGTTCGCCCACACAGCCATGCTCATTGTTACGGTGAAGACCAGTCGATGGCGATTATCGCACCCCTTCTTCCGGCGTCCACCCCGAGCGACGCTGAAACGGGCACCTTTGCGGAGCCGATTAGAAACGAGCAGAAAAATATGTTTTCCGCTTTTGTCCAGAACCGTCTCTCTCTCGTCGTTCGTTCGTTTCGAAAAAAAAAAAAAAAAACATCGAAGCGAAAGTCGGCGTTAGGGTTATCTTCGATCGGGTCAAGATTCGACGGGGAAGAGCTCGTCTCATCGGGCCAATTAACTGCACGCGAATTTATCGCTGACGATACGCTTTTCTTCTGTCTCGCGACGCTCGCGAGATAAACCAACCCACGTACAAGGTGTCCCATTTATTATTAATAAATCGAAGCTATTTTTTTTCATTTCCAAAAGATATTAGTTTAGAAACGTTCTTCGATCTCAGCTATCGTTTCGAAGATATTCCTGTGGATTTAAATGGGACGTGTACGATTAAAATTTAATTTTAAATTGCACTTTCAATTGGTCGAAATTTATATTGTCTGCAAGTTCGTAGATTACAAGGTTATTTTACAAAAAAATATCCATAACCTTGAAAAATTCTTTCGTTATTTCATTGTTTTTTTTTTAGAATAATGTAACTTTGTGTTAAGGATTTTGTTCAAGTGTCAAAGAATGTCTCGTTCGTCACGATGCAATTACGTTCGCCTAGATAGTATCGTGTAAAGGGGTAGTTATTGGATTCGTTTCAGGTTGGTATTTGTATATACGGGCGTAACCCACTGCACCAGAGCGGCTGCATCGTAAATTATGAACATTTATTGACAGGAGATCGTAGATTCAGTAGATACGTAGTGCTCTAGCGTGACGTATAGCTGCAATATATCAGATACTTGGACGAGATCCCAGCCTTGAGGGTTTATTCTAGTAACGCGAGGGTTTCCTTCGCGGATCTCGTGCTTCTCGATCGCGGTACATTTTTCTGGCGATGCCAGGAGCTTCATTCATTATGATTATATCAAATTTCCCGACAAAGTCATATCCAACGATAGCGATCGTTCTTCGTAATCTTACTCTTTTTTTCAAACAACCGAATCCACGTTGATCGCAAATAAAAGCAAAACTATTCGATCCAAAATGTTAGTTTCAGCTTCGACGACGTAAGCTTTTCTCAGTTTCGGTCCACGACTCGTTTCCATTTCTAGGTCGAAGGAGAACTTCTAAACTTGCATATGAATTTGTTTAACCAGAATGAATTCTGGCTTTGGTAGGAGCGGTTCGAGGCAGAAAACGGATACGAGAGTGGTTTCGGTAAGAAAAGGGGCACTCCGGGAGTAAGTGCTCCGTTCAAATAATAGAACGTTCGAATAACAGTCGCGTTCTGATAGTCGAGCATTCAGAAAATGGAGGCCCTGCACGAGGGTTGCTGGTTCTCTGTCCTCCGTGTCTTTTCTCCGGCTCCGACTTGTCTCGCGCACGGCTCTCTGTGGTTTCTGCAATCTCGTGTTTCCTTTTTTCTTCGCGGGGAGCTCGAGTTCCAACTATTTCACCGGCTACCCCGTTGAAACCTTGTATATTATTGGTTTTGCCTTTCGCGTTGGCGCGCCAGCAGCCATAGACCATCGAAAATAACAGGTATTTCGATCATCGAATGTTTTTATTTTTCACGCTTTAATTCAAATATACGTACAACCACTGGGAAATATAATTTTACCTTCGAGTTGAGACCGACAATCAAAATATTCGAAATTAATTATAGTTTTATTTTGCGTGGAACGATCGGAATAAATTATTATCCGCGTTTAAAATTGATGTAACATCGCGTCGAGTAATTTATGAAAGTGGCATAACTCAAACATCCGACAAAATTAAATTTATCGCCCATTCGGTAACCTACATTCTTCCAATAGTGAAAGAAATGTTAAAAAATTATTGACTCAGGCCACTTTCATAATCGTCAGCTCCTTAACTATTATTTTAATGTCGAAGATAAAAATTATCTATTAACACGTTGTTAACTTAAGATAACGTGTCATAACTGTTTTTCCTTATTTTTTAGCTGTCGTCTCTGACCTTCGTTTTACATTGCTTATTTTATTTCTCTCGCTCGCAGTGCAACTTTATTATTTTCGTTTTCTTACTGCTTTTAAAGTCAGATTAACAACTCGATTTGTAATTTAAAAACAGCGACGATATTTGTAGCGGGAAAACGTGTCTTGGACAGAACATAAAAAGAAACGAATCGATTTCCTCCGTCGCCGAAACCAGAAGCAATGTAAACACAGTCTAGCCACGGGTAACGAATTATGTTGCTTGTTTCTTCCGCGTAAAAAGCTCAAGGTTGATTTACAGAGCGGGAAAACGCACGATTCGCGTGGAAACGCCTGGCGGTTTATTTTTAAGAAAACAACCGCGAGAGTTACGACGTGTTCGCGCCGATGTCGGCGCAATTGTGCCAGGAATTCGTTCTAATTGAGAAAACGCATGACCGTTTTAATGGCAAAACACGCCTAACAGTAACTTTCACCGAGAGCGAACTCTTTCGCCCAGCAAAACAGTGTACACGCGTTACTCGCGATATCCCAGTCGTTAAATTTCTTCTTATTCGTTCGTATTAAGGTGGAAGGAGTTGCGGAAAAACACGCCGAGACCCGTTCGCGATTTAAAAGCGTTTTAGTGGAATATTAAAGACGTAATGTCTTCGATGAATTTGCATGAAAACGTACGCTTTTAGTGTACCGCAATTTATGGCTGATTCCTGCGAAACATCAGCCATTTCGTACGCCTTTCTTCTCGACGCGCGTGTTTTGTATTTGCACAGAAGCTCGCTCGACTTTCGTAAAAGCGAACGTAACCGTTCCGTTTCTCTGTTTATCGTTCAACTGTTGCGCGGGGGATCCAACTTGTCTGCTCAACATCGTATTCGTCGGATGTGTATCCGGCGAAACTTCAATTTGAACGAAACAGCGATCGAGTAAACCGTCGAGTCTCTTTTAATTGGGCTAACACGCTTAAAAGTGCGTCAGCCATTTTGGAATTAAATTCTAATATCGAAGGAACTGCGGTTGATCTTCGAGAACAAGTAAACAACGTCAATTTTAAACTAAGACAAATGGATGCTCGTTGATGATATGAGAAAATATGATTACTCCGATCGATCGCTGGCGTCTTTCCAACTTGTTCATAGATCGTCGGTAACCAGCCATTATATCGTGTCAGATGGGTAAATTTTAATCAGAGATCAATTTTATCAACAAATTTTTACATAATAAATAAAATTATTTTTTATAAAAAAATAAAAATGTCAATCGGGGGAATCGAACTCGAGTTCCCCAGCGCGGAACGTCAATGCTTTATACGTTGCACCAAAATGAAACTCATTGAACGTTGCGATTGAATCGAATTTTAATCGAAAAATTAATTATAAATATCTAAAAAATAATTGATCTTTCGATGTTCGTAAACAGGAGGGCGAAATCTAGCAGGGTGCAAAGTTTCGGTTGAAATCGGTGACCCTCGGGTCTTGGATGTTCCGCTTGTGGTTTGGAGCACGTTGGGCGATAAGGTAGCGAACGCGTCGCGATTTCCTTCCTCTCTCTCTCTTTCTCTCTGTTCCGTCCACGATATCAAAGCAGACATTTCGCCGTTGATGGGTTCGCGGCCCATCGAGCCACTATGATTCTTCATTCATGCGTCCACGCGGTTCCATCGAGACGTTTGCCAGCGGCTTTCATGCGTGCCGACGTCGACCGCAGTCTCGGAGCCGCGAGGGGCTGTCTATTCGAATGAAAGAACATTCGCAATCGTCTGGCACACGATGTTTCGCGGACCGTGGCCCGAGACCCATTAACCCTTTAATAAGTTGCGATGGGACATAAATATTCGCTACAGCGTCGAATATCCGATTATACGGATGCGAGAACGAGGCTGGGATCGGTCACGGAGCTCAACCTCTTCAGAAACTAATTGCTCTGTTCGAAATAAATTCTATCGCGAAAGCACACTTGTTAATTTTCATAAATTAGACAGTCACGGATGATATTTAATTTTGAGCAAATTTTCTGCGA